CAACTCTTCACGGCTGTGGAAACCTTGGACAAGTCATGCTATCTCAGCCTCAAGGGGAGGCAAAATCAAATCTTTTCTGAACAAATCTTGTCTTAGGCCACACAGCATCAAGAACACACTGCAGATGTATTAGTTTCATATGTTTTTCCTGTTCTAGCTTTGTGTTTTGGTGAGATTGTCACAAAATAAACACCCTCACAGAGCTCTTAACATTGTACCTATTCCTGGTAAAAGAATATGACTGTTAGTCTAAATAAATTTGCATTGTATAAACCCACTCATTTTCAAGTTTAACATATTGTTTAGCTCCAAAAAAGAAAAGCTATAAGATGTAAATCATATGTTACCTCACCTATGAGGTGATTTTTATGTGCCATTTGCTTAAATATGCCCTCAGGTGGTGAGAGCTGGAATTTATCACACTAGATAATACAGTACAATTAGAAGTTAGGTTTTGAGATTATTCCGCTATTTTATAACGGCCCACTTGCATGGAAAAATTCATTTCTTGACACCCAAGGTCACAAACATGCTCTGACTAAAATTCAAGGTCTCATTCTTTACCCACTGTGTGTGTGAATGTTCATGTTCATTTCAACTTCCCCCAAAGGCTAGCATAAATCAGTTGTTGTTGTTGTTGTGTGCCTTCACTTTCTGAGACCTATGGTGACCCCATGGCAAATCTATCATGGATGTTTTCTTGGCAAGATTTGTCCAGAGGGAATTTTTCATTGCCTTCCTCTGAAACTGAGAGAATGTGACTTCCCCAAGGTCAATCAGTGGGTTTCCATGGCTGAGTGGGGATTTGAACCCTGGTGTTCAGAGCTGTAACCACTGGACACCAAAGTCTTAATACTGATAGATACCAAAGATTTACACCACTGCTCCATTCGTAGACCTATTCCACCACTTTCAAACTGGATACAGCTTAATGGGTGACTTTAGGCCTTTCAGATGGTTTTAAAATATAATTGGCTCAAAAAATAACAATTAGGTCCATTACCACTGGCCAGGCAGGCTGACGCCAAGGTACTTGTAAGCCAAAACATCTGGTGGACTCAAGTTTCTCTGTCCCTTGAGTAGAACAGATGTGAGGGAAGGGAAAGTGTGAATATATCTGCCTCCTCCTCCGCCACCATTTCTGCCACCTTCCAAATGTGAAGGGCAGTATTATGAATTGGAGACCTTTTTTCTGCTTATGGTGGCTCTTCCTGTGAAGGGCAAGAGTCTCCATGGATAGAAAATGTTCTCCCCTTGAGAAAGCTTCCCTCTCCTTAGAAAGGAGGACAGAAATTTCTACGCCCAGTGCATCTGCACTGTGGACATAATGAAATTTGACATCACTTGTAACTGTCATGGCTCCATCCTGTGAATTCCTGGGATTTGAAATTTATTGTGGCAGTAGAGGTCCCTGAAAAAGAAGGCTAAATGTCTCTTAGAAACTACAAATCTCATAATTCCAAAACATTGAGTTGTGGCAGTTAAAGCTGTGTCAAACTGCATTAAATGTACAGTCACAATGTCTGACTAGGGTTATAGGTTATCCCAGAAGCTATTATAGGAAAGAGGAGGGAAAATCAGAAGCATGGTGAGTTTGCCTAACAATTGTGAATGTCTTCTTCCCTCTGCTCCCACCTACATCCCAGTTTGCCTTTGTTTGGGATGGAAAGGGGATATGACCTCAAAAGGTTGGAGCTTTTTGGTGTGTGGGGGTACCTCTCTAATAAGATTTCAGACTGTTTAAGATTCCTCTGAGTTCTCTTCATATTGGTGTATGTGTGTGTTGTGTGCCTTCAAGTCATTTCCAATTTACGGTGACCTGAAGGCAAGCCTATCATGGTGTTTTCTTGGCAAGATTTTTTCAAAGAAGGTTTGCCACTGCCTTTCCCTGAGGCTGAGAGAGTGTGACTTGCCTAATGTCATTCAGTGGGTTTCATGGGAACTGAAACCTGTTTTCCAGAGTCATAGTCCAACACTCAAACCACTACACAGTGCTGGTTCTCTAAAACAGATACCTGCTGGTTTATAGAAATTATAAGGATATATTATACAATAAAATACACAATAAATGACAATCATGGGATTTTTTAAAAAAAAGTAGGGAAAGCAAATATTTAAAAATCAGCAATCAAATTAAAAGCAGAGAGTAGCAACCGGGAGACAAAAATAGCATACTTTAACATCACACTGACATTTTAAAAAGGATTTCCAGCAACAGCCTGAAGAGTAAAAGAGAAAGGACACAGTGGATTTGTGTAAGATTTTTCATTGAAAAATATAATTGTGCTTGCATGTCTAATCTCTTTTAAAGACAGGTCCAAAAGTATTATCTCTCCTCCCAAAATAAGTTGATGATTGTGGGAAAGGGGGAGGTATCTGTTGTAATTCAGGAACACATGATTTGCCAGGTTTTGCATAAAATAGGAGTTGGCAGATGGTAGATCAGGGTAGCTGGATAATTTGCAGTAGACTGTTAATGCTTTCCACTTCTCAAAAGCAGTAATGAAGATTTCCTGCGCATTGTCTGTAAAAGAACTGTGCACTTACTTTTGAGAACAGATTTGTTGGCTGAGCATATATTCAGAGATGTCTTTCCTCTTTATTCAAAGTGTAAATCTGTCATGCTGTGTCATAACATCATTCCCAAGCCACTGTCTTGCATCCAGCTCTGGTTGGTGGGTCCCAGAGTTTTAGTAAAAGCTTAATATTTGCCTGCCTCTAGTACAGAAGATCTCTCTATAATCATTTTGTATAGAGTGGTTTTTAGAGAAGCAGCTTTTTTCTTTCCTAATGCTGCAGTGGTGGGTGGGGGTACCTAAATTATGCATACAACTTACGTGACAAGCAGAAAAAAGGAGAGAGAATAAAATGCCACAGTACTTTCAAATATTAATATAAAAACAACAACAAATGTTATCCCACCAATTAAAATTATCTTCAAAAACTCCTATTTAATAGCCATCTGTTGCAAATTATCCTTTCCATTTCCAAAACCATAAAAAGCACCGTCATTCTTCTGTAATTTCATTGCATAGCATTTTCCTTCTCTAAACTCACATGAAGAATAACTATGATTTTCTTAACAAGCATTGTATTCTTCCAACACCAGTACTTTTATTTCATTCCCAGTTAAGAGCAACCATCATTTCTGTAGCTATTCTGTAGAATTATATTGCTTAAGACAGCTATCAGTTTGGCATAAATGGAAAGCCATGTGTAGCTGTCTCAGCTGTCTAAAGGAGGTTTCCTGTGCTAATGTTAGGAACTGGGACACCTGTGTATTCAAAACCAAGAAAATTAGATTTTTTAGAACTAAGTTTCTTAAATACCACCCAGCATGATCAGTAGCTATGCTGGCTGTGGCTTCTGGGAGTTGTAGTTCAAAAAAGGCTCTGGTGGGTTTCAGAAGAGGGATTTTTCAGGCCTTTTAAGTGCATCAGTGCTGAGAGAAAATAATACAGAGACCAAATAGAGAAGGTAAAGAAAGCTTGGAATGTTTGTCTATTAAACACCTCCTCTCCTCCTTGCTGTATCTTTTCCAGACATGCAGGGGCAGTCACGCCTGGATGGATCCCGCCGGGGCACTGGGAAAGATTGTCCATTCTGTGGAAAGTCCTTTAGATCCTCCCACCATCTCAAGGTGCATCTCCGTGTCCACACAGGTAAGAACTGAAGTTGGCTGCAATTGACAGGATTTGCCTAAATGAGTGCAATTGTTTCATTTTGGGTGATCCCATAAAGCTCATTTGCTCTAGTCTCTTTCTCTTTCACAGAGAGAGTGTGCTGTTCTACTCATATAGCTCAGGCAGCTTCATGAGTCTTGAGTCATGCAGCTGCAATTTCATGTAGCTTCAATTCAGTGAGTCTCTGGAAAATCTGAAGTTTGAAATAAGGTTTAGCAGAGCCAAATTTCGGTTGTCCTCAACAGAAACTTGACACTGTTCAAGAAGGACTCATACAGCTGCCTTAATAATTTTATCTTTCAATTTCCTCTGCAGGAGAGCGTCCATACAAATGCCCTCACTGTGACTATGCTGGCACCCAATCTGGCTCTCTGAAGTACCACCTGCAGCGCCACCACCGAGAGCAGAAGAGTGCGGCAGCTGCTGCAGCGGCAGCAGCAGCTGCTGCAGGAACACTGGAAAGGTGCCACATCCCCCTCAGTCCCACCGCAGTCCCTGCCTTTCCCCCTACGCAGCTCCCCAAAAGCCATGGTTCCTTTCTCCCTCTGGGGGGCTTGGGTGCAGCTCGGTCCCGTCCATCCCGCCGCAAGCCATTGCTCAATGGGAAGGCCGACTTTCAGCCCTTGGACTTGTCGCTGCGCCCAACTCTGGCTGGAGGGGCCCTCCACCGCTGCCAGTTCTGCCCCTTTGCCACCTCAGCTCCTGAGCTCATGGAGTTGCACCTTCAAGTTCACCACAGTCGGAAAGCCCGCACCCGCCGCTGCTCTCACACGGCCCCCAAACCCCGGGCAATGGCAGAGGATGTGGTGTCTGAAGCCCACAGTCCCCAACAGAAAGAATCGGAGTCCCTAAGTCCAGAAAGGGAGATCACCAAACCTCAGACCATCTGGCATTCAGAAGAAAAGAGAGACTCTCCCAGGACTGATTTGCCTCGAGGGAAGTGGACCTCTGATGGAACAATAGTTACCAATCTTTCTCCTGGAATGCCACCAGCTCAGCAAGGTTGGGAGAGCCTGTCGCAAGACTCTGAGGAGCCAAGACCTGAGGAGGAATTGTCTGGCCCAGTGGTCCAAAAGGGATCACACCAGGAGACATCTAAGACAGGCCAAGGCCTTATGGAATTGCAGTTGGAGCCAGTGCAGGCTTGAGTATGTCTACTCTGCATATATAAACCAGTTTCAAACATGTTTTAACTGTCATGACAACTCCCATCCAAGAGACCCTGGGAACTGTAGCCTTTTCTATGATGTGTCACTATGTTACAAAGAATTCTCCATTGCCCTAACAAAATTACAATTCCCAGAGCAGGGGCCTCGGAGAGCCTATAGCTTAGTGGTAGAGCACATGCTTTGCATGCATTAATGTTCCAGGTTTAATCCTTTGTATCTCTAGCTAAAAGAAGTAGCAGGGCTCAGAAAGTCCTCTGCTTGTGACCTTGAATGGACACTGCTTGTCAGTGCAGACAGAATGGGGCTAGATGGATCAGTGGACAGAGTTTCTAAAGACAAGTGTCTAAAGACAGTTAAACCAGTTTCAGACCTGTTTACATTTGTAGTATAGATGTGCAGAGACCAGGAAAGGTAGCTAATAAGATGCCTTCCCAAGTGTCCTGCATCCATCTATGAGAGGCATTGGAGTAGAAGGTAGTAGGGTTGTTGAAACAGGTCTCTGTCTTAAATAACAAGACAGAAATTCAGATGGTACAGGTGTTGTCTGTCATGCATCTGTTAGTAGCACAAAAACCTGACCTGTAAAAGAAAAAAATGCCAACCCTGGGAGATAAAAGAGAGAAGCTGTGATATGGCTGGGGTGTGGAATTTGGCAGTGATGCTGTAGCAATTTTTTTTTTAAATAAAGTCAAACAGGGTTTGGTGGTGATGTGGTTGGGGATGTTGGGTTCCAACCCCTTGTTTTCTTCTCAGTCTTGGGCTTGATGCTGCTTCCTTTTGGTGCCATGGTCTGAGGGTTGGTCCCTTTCAGACCTTACTGTTGGCATAAGTGAAAGGTGATACCCCCATATGGGAAATGACTCCTGAGATATACCTTGAAAAAGTTTTGTATGTAAGGAATGTTTCAGCAGGTACATCTTTTCCCTTCATACTGCTGCTACAGTAGGAGAAGCTGAACCCTTTCAGAATTCTTCCTTAACAAATTACTAATGACCCAGGAGCCCTGTTTCCCATTAAGCCTGTTTTTCCTGTCAAGTGCCACAGAGGCAGGGTGGCTTGCACCAAGCACTCTTGGCCTGAGGGGACTTCAAGTACCAATGATGGGGCCTTGGCTCCATAGCAACTGAGTGCCACAGTCTCTTGTGTGCGTAGCAAGCAAGACCCAGTGCCAGTATCTTATCTTTGTAGTGATCCAGCCACAGAGCTTTGTTTCTGTAGTGACCTGGCATGTCAGGGAGCTTGACAACTTCTAGAGTTTTCTATTTTTTTATTGTTTTCTTGTAGAAAAAAAATTGAAACTGGAAATAAAAAATAAAATGAGAAATGATTTATTGTTCGATTAAATGTTTGTGTGAGCGTGCACCTTGAGCAATGTCCTTTAAGCTCCCTCTTAACCCATGGGTTGCTACAGAGTGTTTTAAAATCACAAACTGCTAGGCATCTATAGAAAGTTTATCTGTGTCATAGTTTCTTTGCTATTTTAGCCCCACTTGGATTGCTGTTCCTTTTATCCTATCCTGGCTGTCTACACAGTGCACTTTAATGCATGTTTTTGCTGTTTCTATTATATCCATAGAGTTTTGTGATGTCTGATTAGCTCTTCACAGAATATAAATGAAGGATTATGAACATGTAGCCCTCCAGATGCTGGTACATAATTCTCATTATCCTTCACCATTGGTTATGCTGGCTAGAGCTGGTGGGAGTCAAAAATAGTCCACCAGTATCTGGAAGGTCACTCCTGGTAGAAATGCTAAAATGCTTAAATAGATGCTGCATGGACTCTGTAGTGCAGAGAAGAAAATAATCTATATAGACCTTCTTGATCACCCATTTGCAAAATATGTCTTCATCTGAGATGGTAACCCCTAGGAATTAATTCCTTAGCTTTAAATCTTTCATGAATCAGCACATTCTCAAAACTGGCATACATGGGGACCTTCTAACCTTGGTAGGCAAGATTTCTGGCAGTGAAGGAGAAAGGAGTGAAGTTGGCAATCCAGCGAAATTCTGAATGAACAAAACAGCCACTGATAATACACTAGAGGAGTGTGACTTTCCATCATACTTTAAATTCATTTCATAAAATTCTGTGGTAGCTTTTCTTCCGTATGCCCAAGGTGGTGTACAAAGAGGTAAAACAAACCACTGCAAACAGAAAAAATCAGTAACTAAGCAAGTAAGCTTTTCCACGAAGTTGAAGCCCAAGAGAGATGTTTTACACTTCACTGGAAGACGAATAGCAAGGGCATTACTCCATAATTTAGACCACTGGGATTTATTTTTGTTATCTTTCTCATGTCCAGAACTGTCCTATGAGCAGCATATACCGTAATCAGCAGCTGCACCAGATCCTGTCTGATCTTGGAAGCTAAGCAAGGTTAGTCCTATTTAGTACTTGGATAGGAGACCACCAAGGAATATCAGGTACTATAGGCTATCTTTAGGAAGGAACTGACTAATTCTTGGGGTTGCCATAAGTCAACAGGCAACTTGAAAGCCTCTCATAGCACCAATGTCTATGACTGTTTAACACCGTCTATAGCTGTGTTAAATAGAGTTTATTCCTAGGTAGGCTGGATTATTTCTGCAGTGTGTTTTGGATCTATGTTAGTATGTTTCAGCAGAAAAAGATATGAGGGAATCCTTTGAGATAGAAAAATAAATGTCCTAGTATCAGTTTTTAGAAAAAGAAATGTCCTAGCATCAGTTTTTGTGGATTCCAGACCACTGTTGCATCTGATGAAGTGGACTGGAGTCCATGAAAGCTTATGTTAGAAATTTATTTCAGTCTCAAAGGTGCTATAGGATTCTCTTATATAGTTGTATAATTACAATTATATAACCTTTTCAGTTTAGAAATAAAATAGCATCATTTTGTTACCAGCCAGCATGCCATAGTGGTTTGAACATTGGACTATAGGCCTAAGCAGACTGC